AACTTTGAGCAGCAAGCACATTTCCAAAGAGAATAAAACCATCTCTAAGCACAACGCCTGAAAACCTTAAGAAAGCCTCCAAATGAAATCAATTAATCCTCCAACCATGATAAATTTCTTAACCATTTAAGAAACGTATTTCAGACTCTGCTGTGACCCTTTATCACCAGACCTAATGGATTACTTTATTAATAATGCACTGCTCTTAAAAGGAATTTTTCTGAAGATTCTACCATAAGAGAGCATTTTTGGAATGGCTATGACAAACAGGCTGACATGTTCACGTTGTATCTATTAAAGATAATAAAATTTAACACTAACTCCGAAGAAGACAAATTATGTTCTGCTGCCAGGGTATCAAGTATACTTTCTACTGTATTAAACCAAAATTAGAGCAAACTAATTTCCAAGGACAAGCTTCTTCTTTTGCCCTATTACCAAGCTGAAAAAGGTCCCTACACTGTTTTAATGCTTGTTATGTCAACCAGACAATTATCATGTGTCAACAGCATCTGGGAATGAAGTATGATGACACCCTATACAGATGCCAGCCCAGATCTTTCAGCTATCTAGTCCTGAACAAACACTAGGAAGTATTTGATTGCCCAGCAGGAATACTTCTATACAAAGCAGTTTGCTACTCGTAGACCTGCTAACTCCTTTCACTCTTCTGCCCATAGGATGAGATTTTATTAAACGGATCTCTAGGTTATCAGTGCTCCAACTGCAGTACCCTGCATTTCTTGGAAAGGTATAGGCAATTACTTTACTATCCTGTGGTTCCATCACGCTTTGTGGTATTTGCCGCTCCAGGGGCAGAGAGCACCTCTAGGAAGATTACCTTATCTCCACATTTAGTCAGCTTTGGAGAAACAGTCCAAATTTTTTTTGGTCTTTTCTGGCCAGATCGAGATTCGTGGTTTATTCTGCTGCCAAATGTGCTCCGGTTTTATTCAGATTACTGCTTTGACAACTTTGACAACTTCCTATCTCCTCTTCATGAATATATTAATCCACTCCTGTATATTTGAGTCACAAAAGAACATTGTGTCATGAACTAAAGCCAGACCAAACCTCCAAAACTGCACTAAGACCACGTGCATCAAAATCAAGCCCTCAAAAATCCAACGGATAACCCAGCTAAGTAGGCAAAAATAAGGTCTTTGGTGACCTTTATCAATCATTCTTTGAATAAGCTGATGTCTGGGAAGATGTATAGTCATTCTTTATACATGGTAAGCTAAACAGCAGTGGACCATGGAGAAGGTCTGAGGTAGAGGGGAAAAGGAGATACAAAGAAAAAAAAAAAGAGATAGCTTCAGGGATATTAGGTAAAAGAAAAATTAAATTCCATGTCATGTGCAGAAAAGCCACCCTGCCATTTCCCCTTTTCTGTCTCTGCGTGATTCCTCAATAGGTATACCTGAAAAAGGTACACTAAAAGAAACAAAAGATCCCAGCAGCACGTAGAACAGCTCTTGTTCCTACATGGCACAATTTGTACGTGCCTTATTTTTGTGTGTATAATGATTTTTACTGACAGAAAAGGATTGCTTGGACCTGTGTTGCTGGAGACAGATCTCTCTCCATATCCATCTACCTATCTGTAGGTACTTCCATGTGGCAGCTGGCATACTCATTTGAGAAGCCAACCCACAGCTCTGCTGTCCTGGCTAGGGCACTGTGGCAGCATTCCTGTGACTGCCATTATACAATCAATTTCACTGCTTTTCTGATTCCAAATGCTGCTTTTTTTTTTCCTTCTGTGCGGGGTAAGATGGGCTCTTACACAACAGGGAACCCAACTGCTCCTACTAATCCAGTTTCAAATTACCTAATATTCATTGCCCTAAATACCTCCCATCAACCTAAGACCCATTCTCTAACCTCAATGCACACAACCAACGAGTATCTGTATTTTTCTTTTCATTTTTAAAGAAACTATGATTTTTTTTTTAAATAAAACCCAAGGTTTGCATACAGGTACATGTTTAATGGAGTGCTCTGATATATTATTTGCTTGGCCTACTCTTGGGATCTATTTAAACAGAGTTCTGCTGGAAAACACAAAGGATCCCTGATTTGGGGTGCTACTGTCTATGCAAACAGCAGGATGAACACACAGCTGATCAGAGCTTTTACAAGTGCACACACACTCCACAATTTGGTTGAAGGATACTCTGTCTAGTTAACACAGCACAAGTTAGCTGAAAGGAAACTTTCACCCCCACCACACATAACAAAGAGCCATGATTTCTATTAGTGCATTTCATACCATACATGCTGATTACCAGGCTGTGCTTCATTGTTAGCAGAGATTACAGCTGGGATAAGCTGCAGCTTTTTCCTAATTGCTATTATGATGACTGAATTTTTGTTTTGTGTCAAGCATTATTCACACATTATACTCCAAAATTTGATCCCTCTATGATGCATTATTGATTCCATGCAGGCAATCACACTGCCGCCAATGTGAAGAATTAATTTGGGCTATTCTAGTTGATTTGCATTGCTCCATCATAGCAGAACATAGTTCTGTGGGGAAGCACAAATTGAAAAGGAAGATTTAACAAAATATGGGAAATGCTGCTGCCCTTTAAAAGAGATGAGTCCTAACAAGGAGAAAAAAGTCCCCCCCAAAAACCGCTAACCCAGCACAACACGTGTGGTCCAGAAAGAAATAAGGTCAGTCAGCCAAATTCATCTTAGTCAGAGGAAGGTTACAAGAGTAGCCTTATGCCTCTAATAAAGTAAACTAGCTTGCTTCAACTTATATTGCCAAAGAAAACAACTGAACACCTCTGAGAGTGACACTGCTTCAAAGCCTTTGAAACCCCGTTAGCTTCATTTGTTTTCCCAGCATAAGCAATACTCAACCACTTAGTGGGTCTTTTATCCACAGTCCAGTCAACTGCAAAGCTGATCTAGAAGATGTGTAACAGATGCTCCACATCTACTTCCCCTTTTTTAAAGCTCTACTGTGTTAACAAAGGAACTTATGAGATTTTAACAAAAATAAAGCCAGTGATTTATTTTTTTTCCCCCCAAATAAGATTATTTCCCAGTTTTGGGATGCCAACTTAATTAGAGTGGAATAAATTCAGAAGGGTAAGACAACTCATACACGGACTTTGATCTAACACTGGTCAACTCTCAGTCAAAATTCAATTGAATCTGCATAAAAGTGGGCACTGATAATGATGTATTCTGTTTGATCTCATATTTTAAAAGTGTAAAATCTTAGTGAAAAGTCCATATTTTGTCATTGTGCCAAATGCTTCAAATCAGAATGAAACAAAACCTCATATCCCATCCAAGAAACTAGATTCAAATTCTATGTGCATGAATACACTAGATTGATAATTTTATAAATCACATTTTTAATGACACAAAACCCTCAAAACGCTAGGTCTAAAATATCAGGTAGTATTCCCCTCTCACCCTTTTTTGGGAAGCAAGGAGAGGAGCAAAGAGAAGAGAAACTTTTGGTCTTTCAGTAGTCAAGCCTTCTTTCCAAATTATTCTCCAGGACAGCACTAATTCAGTTCAGATATGGGTTGTGAATAAAAATCATATCGGTCCAACTTATTAGCTTTGGGCAGCTTTCAGTACTAGTCACAAAACACGATTAGCACCACCCTGACACAGGAAAGTAAGTGACTCTGAATTACAAGTTATTTTTCTCATAAATATTTTAGAAAGCAATACACATATTCAAGTAAAATCAATGCTACTGCCAAAATGCTCAACCTCCAATTTCTCCAAGCTCTTTTGCTCCCTGTGAAAAGCTGTCTCCTGTCTACAGTCTTACAAATATTCAGTAATTTCTTCTACTTTCAAATGACAACTGCCTACAACTCTTTTTTTAACACTTAAAGAAAGTTCGGAAATAAATTTTAAAAGAATCCGCCACACAGCACACTTCATCTGTTTATAAAGGTGAAATGAAATTATGAGATAAAAGTTACAAACGTGCGGCAAAAGTTCAGATGCAGTTCCCACTTTCTGTACTCAAAGTTCTGCCAAGGTCTTTGGCTAGAGGTAGCATCCTCGATGGAAGCCCATGTGGATGGCTGTAGAAGCGTTCTGCTCTGCCCCAGTTTTAATCTTTGCTTTCAGTGTACAGACTATGAAGGAAGACCTAAGCCACAAAGCAGCCTTAGAAAAAACCTCATTAAAAAGTTGTGATTAGACTTACCACATTCATCCCAGAAACTACTGGAGTCTGAGCAGTTAAGTTGCACACCCTCATAAGTAATGTGTAAAAGATGGCATGGGGTCATTCAAGCTACTAACTAATACTGTCTGTTATCCTTTACATCAGTTTGTACCCTTTAAGCATCCTTGAAAAGGACTAGTCAGCCTTAAAAAAATAAGTATATGCGAAGTCCTAAAATAAGTCAAGCTCTCCTTCAGCTTCATTCATGAAATTACCTCCCAAATGAACCTACACTTCTGCCATTAAGAGAAGAGAGTAAATTCTTAGAATAAACCAATGCTTTTTTTTTTTTGCCAGAGCAGCTTATTAGCTTATTGTCATAATGTTTATAGCTATGAAGAAAAGCTGTGAGAAATAGATATTGAAGGCGCACATTAAAGAGACCCAAATGACATGCAATGAAAAGGAAAGAAAATCTCAAAATTAGATTTACAATAAAAGCTGTTAAAATAAACAGGCTAAAATGGATATATTACAGGAACTTGCATAAAGAAAAATCAAAATAGATATTAAAAAAAAATAATCAAGCTATTTCTGCTATGTCCTTCAGCAAACAGAGCCTGGGGTAAACCCTTCTTGACTGGTTTGATCATGTCAGAGAAGAGATGAAAAAAAAATAAAAAGCAAGCATGCTTTTACCTACACAAGAGAAAAACATCAGAAGCTGAAAGCAGAGCACTCTGATATGCACAGCGCACATCTGTTTCAAAACTATTTATTTCTACATTAGCAGCACACGGAAGACACCAAGCACAGGCTTACACAATCTCAGCCCACCTACCGTCCTCCTTGTCCAGCACCATCATCTCCGCAATCAAGAAAAGTCCGGGGACAGATGCTCCTTCTCCAGCAGCCTCCGCTCAGGGGAGAGGAGAACAAGTCTCTGGGAACACAAATGAGCTACGGTACAGCTGATCGTCCTTTAGCAGCAAGTGAGCTCTAATTACCCAGTTGTCCAGCTTTTAACCTAGATTGCACTCAGTTAGAATTACACTCAGAAATAAAGCACTTTGCAGATACAAAAGCAGCCTCACCTACTTTTGTGCCTCAGAATTGCAAGGAACTAAAACTGCAATTTAGAAAGAAGGGGGATCAGAGCTGTTTCTTTGGTTCTCACCTTCTAAATGGCTCAATTTACGCAGTATAATCTATTTTAATGTAATTGCCTTTGATAGCTCATAACCCTGGCTGTTGCAACTACACAGCTTTCAGCCTTATAAAGTGTTTTCCCTTTGGATTTAAGCAGAATCTAAATCTAAAATTATATTCGGAGACGGCAGAATACCTAAGCCTGACTACTGCTGCCTCTGCCTCTCGATTGGTGAGCCTTGCACACTTGCTATGAATAAATGCACGCGTTTCCCAGGGCCCCCTCTCGTCCTCCTGCCAGGGTTTCCTGGCAGAGCGCGGCTTCCCGGCTCAGCAGCACCACCTGCAGCCCGCCCGGCCCCCGCCCAGGTGCCGCGGGTCGGGGGGACCCGCACCCCCGCGCACCGCCCGCCTCTCACCCCGCGCCGCGCTTTGTCCCCGGGACTGCCTGAGTCCAGAGCACGGCCACACTCCAGATTTGCTCCCCTAAGAGCGCGGATTTTGTCTGAAACCCAGCCAGTACCTCTGGCAGGTCAGAGGCTCAGAACTCTCCGCAGCTGATGCCGGCGACCCGACCCGGGCTGCATTACACCAGCCCTGCTGCTCTCCCAGCTAGATTTCACGCATCTCTGGTGACCTAAAACTTGATACTAATTTTCTGCACAAACATTTTGGGTTTGTTTTCACATGTAGGTATTAGTTTCAGGGAATACTCCAGAGAATACAGTTCCATTTTCACTAGGTCGATATTAAAATGAATTTACCTAATCAAATGTGGTACAAACCCTTTCAGGTTTGCTCCACTTTTCGGAAATGCCATCATGGCCCAAATATAAAGTGACAAGTTGGGGGCCCATGTCTTTTATCCTTTCTCTCGAAACTCTCAATCCTTTTTCAGACAAGTCATCTGTTGTCTCCGATGGCTCTCGTAAGGATTGCGGGATCAGACGCTTCACTACGAGATCGACAGCACCATTTCACTCATCATGGTCTTTTAATCTGAGAAAACATTTGATTTCTGCTTTAATGATACTTCTTCCTCCCCTTTACAACTGATACACTGGTACTCTAAAGAGCATGAGAGCGGGCTCAAGTTATATATCCTTAATACCGATTTTTAATTAGATTCCTTATCCCCAGCTGAAGTGGCTTTTCCTTCCCCCTTCATTCACAATACTTAATCCTAACAGTCCTTGAGAATATTTGATGTTAAATGTAACGTTTTACATTGAACTGTTTTCATCTAGTGCTTCCAACAACTCCTGTTTCCTAGTGATACTTGTTTGTAAGTGTTGAATATGTATTTTAGAGTAAGAGTGCAACCACCATAAATAATCACTTTCTTTTAGGAAGTGTCACAAGCTAAAAAGGAGGAGGATTTTATCGCAAAGATTAAAGTCTAATAGTTAAAAGCATCCATGCAAAAACTAACAAAAACGCAGACTTTTCTGGATTTGAGGTAGTTTAATACTTTCAATATACTATTGGTCTCCGCTAGAAAATGGTGAACTCCAAAAATGTTCCACACGTGTGTTTCTGTACTTTTCCACCCTATCACCTTCAAAAGGGACAAACTTACCCCAAAATATATGGCACATTTTAACTTACACTATTTGGTAACTACAAGAAAGGCAAAGTTTTGATGAAAATGAAGTTAGCCATTGTCTGTCGCAGGTGACTTCCGTGGCAGAGCAAACCAGCAGACATAACGCACTCAGGAAAAAATACGTGGTACCGGATCAATGTACATTTTATTCCTTTACTGCTCCATCATGTCATAGAGGCTGGATTACTCCCTTAGCAAACAGATTTTTTTTTTTAAACACTTTATCTGCTTACTCATTTCACACACCAACAATTAAAAAAAAGTTTTCTAACCCCCACCACATTTGTACAGAAATTAAAGTCAACTACAATTAACACAATCTGTTGGAATTAATCATGATACCTGATGTCAGTTTACTTTTTTAAGCAGAAATCTGGTCTTTGCAATCAAAACATTTATGTGTTTGAGAAATATCTTAACTCTCATTATCTTGAAATTTATAAATGCACTGCACGGTGTGTAGGTTGGCTTGCCCACAGCAAATTCTGCATTGATTTACGCAGTGGAACTGACTAAAAGGCAAGCCTTGAAGTTTTTCACTCTCAACCTTTCTCTCCTCCACCCCTCTCGGTTCCTAACATTTGTTTTGGGAAGATATCTGCCGAAGTTCCACTGTAAACCAGTATTTTCTAATATCAAGTCATGTTGCATCAGTCAAGTTATATTATGTCACCTCAAACACACAAAATGCTGTTACCTCCCTGACATAACTCGACGCAATGCCACAACACATCAAGTCAGAAACATTATTATTGTTGTTGTTATTTTTTTCAGTGTGCCCCTTCATCCTCAACGATATTTGTAAAAACCGCGGAAAAGTATTATTGTGCCTCTACTACCTCTCGGCACCACGGAGCGTGCTGGCCAAGGAAGCTTTTCACTCACAAAGCCGTGTAGCAGTTATTGGACTGCAAGGGCGAGATGCTGGTGTCACACTGGGACTGGCACACACCCCTAAGGCAGCGCCACAGCCCTGGCATGGAGCTGAAAGAAGGGGCAGCTCTCTCTGAGGCCGTGGACCAGCTTGCCAAGTAGCCTTCAGGGATGCAAAAGCAAGGGGCAGATTGCCACCTCTACCTACAAGGCAGCAAGTGTCCTCCCTGTGATGCACCAGGACCTCTGGGAGAGGTAATCCTGAAATCCTGTCTTCTCCACACAGTAATAACTATGAATATGCCCACTGCTGCCAGAGACCTCAAAAGAAGAACACCCCTCAAAGAAAAACCCTACATGGCGAGGCCTCTTAAATCAAGGGGAGAATTGGATACTAGCCACAACGCCAGGATTTTTAGATGGTAGAAATCAGACCGGCCTCTGGGAAAAAAGGGTAAAAAAAAACAAAAAGAAAAAAAGGAGCCATTTATGGGAGTAAAACAGACCCATTTTTATTAACAAGCTCATTGAAGCTTGATTTCAAAAGGTATTGGTTTAGTTAGCAAAAGCTTCCATTTTAGTCCATTTGTAACCTACGCAGGTCCAGCATCCCCTTTTAACATTCACAGATGAGCGGGCAAGTGGAGTCCATTTGAATCAGGCAGAAAGAAATGTACAAAGGTAAAATAACCTCTTCATAAAAAAAGTTTCTTCTTTCAGGCTCACGTCCTGCCCCTGTTTCTCCAGTGCACCTTTCAAAGTGAGCATAATTTCTCCTGGAGCATAACTACTCCATCAACAGCACAGGAGATTCCTAGGCATTACTGCACCTTGTTGCCCTGATCTCCACATCCCTCTCATCAGGGGTTTGTTTCCTACTTTACTCCTTTTTAAGTGCACCCCGCCCTAATTTCCTGTGTACCTCTACAATCGCCACCATTATTCCCTTTTATACAGCCGCTCATGAAATCTCCTGGAAGGAGGCTGTTGAGAACTGTCTGGATAATCAACGGTTCTAGTTTCATTTCCTTACACCACCATCACTCTGGCCCCGAGCTCCTTGTGTTTAATGAGTATGTCTGCGACACTTGAAAGAGCCCAAATACCCCCATTATGAAACCCTCTTCAGATCTCAGTTTTTCCTCTCGGCTCACCTGTGCCTCTCGCCTCTGCGATGGAGGCAGCATCCTGCTGTTAGCCCGTCAATCACACTGAAACAGACACAGGTTGGCAGGCACCCCATGACAGAGAGTCACCGGGATGAAGACATCATCCAGTTATTATTATTAAGGGGTATTAATAGAGATGTTAAGAGCCCTTCCTCCCTTTTCCTCCAACAGTCGAGCAAAATTCAGGGGACTCTTGCAATGCAGGTCATCCCCAAAAGTGAGGTCGGAGAGAAACACAAACCTTGTTCCAAATACTAGTAAGAAATTATCCTTGCTTAATTCCTCAGTCATTACTTAACCCTCTTGCCTTAGTGCACAGGGGGTGAGGAATGAGAAAAGTCTTTCTACTGTTATCTCTCGCTGACCAGTTAGATAAGTTCATTCCCTCTTCTCCAACACACGCGCTTTCGACTGGAGCATTATAAACCCCATTAATAACACTACATCAGTTTACTTCAGAGGGCTTCAAGAAATCGGAGGGGGGGGGGAAAAAAAGACGCTGGGAGAGGGATTCTCGGCCCAGAGGCATGTGACGAGCGTGCAGCGAGACTCCCTCCCCACGCACCTCTCTGGGGCAGTGAGCATTTAACCTTCTCGTTGTCAGCGCTCCGGCCCCCTCCCACACAGCCGATCGCCCAAGCCAGCCCGGCATTTCTCTTCGTGCCCCGTCCGACTCGGCGGTGTCGCGGCGGGCGGACTCTCACTGTTCTGAGGCAGAAACTCCAGATCAAAAGAAAAGGGGAGGGGGAAAGGAAAAGGTGGGGGGGGAGCGAAAAAAGCGAAGGAAAGAGGAAAGCATCTCCCACTTGTCTCTTCAGCCTGGCATCCACTTTTCCGAGTTAGAGCCCCCCGCCAGCCCGACACAGGGACGTTCCACGGCAATTTACACGAGCGCGCAGGGCCGCCCTGCCCGCAGCAGGAGCGCGGGGCGGCATTTCGGCACCGCGGCCTCGGGTGCCACCGGAGTTGGCCCGGCGGGGACACCCGCTGAGGCCACCGGCGCTGATGGCGGCCCGGTGACGGGGCCGCGGGTGTCAGGCACTGCCCCGCCTGGCCGCAGCCCGCACCGGGGCGGGCCAGCGCCGCCGTGTCCCCAGCGCGGTCACCGCCGCACCGCCCCGCCCGGCCTGCACACCGCGGGGAGCGACCCGGCGGCGCTCAGGAGGCGCCGTTCGGGCGTCCCCCGGACCCCTTTGTGAGCGGAGCGGTGCGGGACAGGCCGGGCAGCAGCGCCCTGCCGCGGCGCGGGGCAGCTCCCCCCGACCCCGCTCCTTCCTTCCTCCGCCCGGTCCGCCCGTCCCTCTCTCCCCGCCGTCCCCGCCGCCGGGGCGCCCGGAGGGACCGGCGAGCCCGCGCCCCGCTCCCACCTAC